ACAAGCCCTCTGCTTTTTCTCCCTTATTCCCCAGCTTCCTTCCTGCTCTGTTCTTCTCCCCACATTTCTCTTGCTGAATTTCAGCACCCACTATGCTGTGTCCTTGAACCCTATGTCAGAGCTGGGCTCCTGGTGTCCATCCATTTATCACCTGCCTCTGAGTCCCTGTCCCTGTACTCTTTTCATGGTACTCTTCACTAAGCTCTCTTGGGTGGGTCTCTCCCTTTATCCTACCCATTACTGACTGCCTAGATCACAAGCTGCTATAGGCACCCGACAAAGAACATAATCTTTCCCTTAGCCAAAACAGTTGTCGGTTCAGTTACCCATGGAGGTCCCCCCCACTCCTCTCCAGGGTAAGAATCTTCCTTCTAATCACAACCAGTCCCTGCCTCCTCACCCCATCCTTTTATACAGAACCAGTCATGCCTGGATGTGTGAAACAGGAACAAACAGGTCTATTACTTGATGAACATAATAAATGCTTTCCTCCCAGAGGAGAGAATGGCAATCTTTCTTAAACTGGTGCTGATTCTGGCATTTTGGAAGGCTTTACTGAATCCATCACTAAGCTGCCTAAAGATAGAAGTAAGACTCTCTGACAGCATCATGCAGAAAATTGGATACAATCTCCCAGCATGAGAAAACACACCGCTGAGTGGGTATAATGGTAAATAATAATGGGACGATCTAAAGAGAGGAGCCGGATGAGTCATAGGAAGACACAGTAAATGTTGCAGACAAATTAAGTAGCACAAGACTCATTTTAGGAGGGTTCAGGGAAAAGACCAAAATGTTGGATGGAATTAAGATATGAAAAATGTGTTTGCTCAAAACCAGAATCCAAATTTGCTCAGAACTTGAATTGACAGAACAGACTATTGGAAATTATGAAAATCTTAAGCTGTTATTAAAAAGTAAATTAAAAATTCCTGAACATCAGTTCCAAAAAAATTCACCTAAGTTCCTACAAAATATTAAAAAATAATTTTTATTCTCATAATAAAATAAGAAAATCTATTTTGTAAAGCGACAATAACTGAAGCACAGAAAATAAGACTTGATTTTAAATTCAAATTCTGTATTTATAATAGAGCATGAGGCTATGTGCTAGAAATCCATTTTTCCTTTGCAATAAATATAACTTAATTTTCAAAGGCTTGGTTAGTAATAAATAATTTAAAGCTCTAGTATATTTGCTTTAAATCTCCAAATTTTACTGTTACCATCATTTTTAAAAGCCTACCTCTGAGGAGATATTAGGCCTTTTAAAGGGAAGAAAACAATGGAATCTTTTGAATAACTTAAAATTTAAATGGAAAACTGACTGGAAAATAAATCTCAAATCTAAAACAAATTGGTAAATAAGCCCAAAATCACTTGGATAATGCTATTTAAGATAAATAACATTTGGGACACAGGGAGACTTTTTAAATTCAGGATGAGTCAATTTTGTTAATTGCAGATGGATTATCTACCTCAGGAGGTGTCCTATGCTCCAATTCCAAAGCCTAGATCCATCCAGATAGGAAAAATCCTCCAACTCCTTAACAAGATTGGCTAAAGTAATGGCTACAACAGGAGAGTGTACAAATTGTTTCTATCTCCAGCTATGAGGAACCAACCATGCAAAACAGTGGGATGTTTAGTGACCATCTGTCTTACAATGTTATCTTTAACTAGATAGCTTAAGCCCTGACCAGGGCAGGTTCACTAGATGGGAGTGGGGGAGGGGATGGGGCAGGAGGAGGCAGAGGGGACTGTGAGAAATAGATATAAGAGCTAGCTGTTAAATACATATTATTTCCCAGTGTGAAGTTCATTGTTTCTGCCACGCTTTAATATATTCCACCATATTAAAAACAAAACAAAACAAAAAATATATTCCACTATATTTACATATTATGTTATAAAACATGGTATCTTCCTTTAGAAGTTATATTTGTCATCAAGTTTCCTGTGAGAAAACACTTCCCTGACCTTGTATCATCTCTGATATTCTCCCTGACTCTGTCCTTTCTTCCAAAACCATTCTCTCCTCCACTGAAGTATCCCATGCCTTCCAACCTCCCCATCTCTCCCCACCATCTGTCTATTAGATTGGTTTGAAAAATCAAGCACATGGAAAAAAAATGTCAGTGAACAGGAATGAGTGTGGAATCTGAAAGTACCCATCTAGTGGACCAGCCGATTTGAAGGGCTACTCCGACATTATGGGCAGGTAAAACTTCCACGCAAACATTTCACTCTCTTCCTCAACCAAACTACACTTTTAAACAAAAATGATAACTGAGTTTCATTGCTTTTCATTTGAGGTTTAGGCAGGGGAATAAAATGCCATTTGAACAGAAGATGCACCTTCTCTCCAAGCACCTGAACTTCCAGCAGCCCAAGACAGCATGCTAAGTCACTAGACCCAATGGACTTTGTTCTTTCATCTACATGTTCTCCCATCTCTAGACACTTGACTCTCTCTAAGTTAGTGTTTTTAATAAAAGGTAATATTTTCTCAAACAAGATGGTGGGTGGATTACAACAAAATGTATTTTTTTCCCATTGTTCACCTGGGATGGAGTGACTGCTCAGGTGAGAGCACATGAGTATATTACTGGGTGCTTTAATAAATAAATCAAAAATATCATTCCACTGGCAAGCTTGTTAGATTTAATTTTACTCTCCTATTTTTGATTAGTCTTGCCTATTTGACTTCCCTCTCTCATCTCTTTCCTCTTTTCTCTTCATCTCAGGTATCTAATTGGGTTTCCCTCATGTAATAGGCCATCACACTGCAGTTCTTATAGTTTTATTCTTTGCTTCTTTCTTTTGTCTCCAATCTCTTTGCTACACACTAGCTCTACATTTCATTTCCCATTTAATACTAACCCATGCCAGCCTAGTTAAATTTACTTTAAAATAAAAACAAAAACAAAAATAAACACCCTCTCACTGCCCAAACAGTAAGCCTACCTTTTAACCCTTTTCTTAATATTTATTTGCCTGAGAGGATTGCCCAGTAAGGTCAAAGGTTGAATAAAGCATTAGTTACATATACTTTAAAAAACTGAATGAATTCTACCTTTGTCAATAAGACAAATATAATATCAACACTTTCAATAAACTTGCTTAAATTACAAAAGACCCTATAGACGAAGCAAAGCGGGTAGTTAGAACAGCTTCATGTGGCCTAAACAGGTTTCCAAGGCTTTATCTCAATTATGCCACCCCATCCTCAGCATGAATGAGGAAAAATCTAAAGGGCATCTCATCTTTCCTGATTATGTAAGATGATCATAAATCAACTGCCAACAAATACTCCCAATGTTTGCATAATCATGACTCTAGATATCTTCACCCCTTACCCTGAGTGTGTTTTTGTTGGTCTTGTCTAGAGGGAATTGTTGAATCAGCTGAACAACAACCACATCTCACACTGTATTCTATTTACCACACACCCCCACACACCCCCAACCAATATAATGTCAATTTTTTAACATGTTTCAAGACTAACATAAAAATAATCTTCTACTGGGAAAAAAATCTATGTAATTTAAGAGTTTCTGAAATTAGAGTTATAATTTCCCTTTATGGAGAAAATAACACCAGATAAAAATAACCAGTAAAATGACCAATTTAAAAATATGAGTGCAAGTTCCATAAAAATCTCTATTCTGTTGCTCTGAAATAAGAATTCTATACATTAATTGCTTTTGTTTTCTCTCAAAGAATATTCAAGGCATCTTTAAGGTGGTATTGTATATATGATTGATTTGTTTTTCAGCAAAAAGGGTGATTTAGTGATCTTCCAAGAATTTTCATGGGCCTAAGTCACTAGACCCAACAATACAATAACAATTATATATATTTAATAAAATATTTGCATTTGCTTTACAGATTACTTATTACTGACGTATTAAAGTGCGCATAAACATATTTGAATCATAAGCTTACAAATTCTACAATGATATGAAAACAAATTACACATGAAAGAAATGTTAAAAAGGCATTGATATGCAAAAGCATCCAAACTGGCACTCAGTAATAATTTTCTAAGAAAATCAAGTTAAATAAAGGAAGTGAGAATTCATAGACTTCTTATTAGCCTAAGAAGAACACTCTAAGCATAAAGTTCAATTTTATACAGATAATGTGAGAACGATGCCTTGGACATTTCAAGTATTTGAATGTCAAAAGTGAATAGATTTACAGAGTTTTGACACATTTATTTTAATGAGTTTGAGATTCTTAAAAGAATGTTGAAGATATACACTTCAAAATTCCCCCAAGCCTTTGGATATTGTGGTTAGCGCCGCAATTTTCTCGTATTTTTCCTAGATCATTTTATTTTTATGAACAGTTAACTGAATCCAAATAATTGAGCTGGGGTGAATGGAGGAAGAAGGAGGACAGTGAGGGGGAAGATTCAGGAAAATATATCTGCAATTAGTTTTCTGTCTTATTTGGAACTGGAGAAAATAGGATCACTCCATGCAATTGATCTGAAAATGAAACATGATCCCAGTGATTGAAAGTGAAGGAAGAATACATAATTCTGAGTTACGGCTTTCTCGTAACATTTATACCCTTACTTTCTTTTTTACAGGCCAATTTGTAATAAAAATCATTATTAAAATCTCAATCACTAAAAACACATTTATTAAGCATATAGTATAAAGAATGCTGCTCCTAATAGTCCCTGGCCCAAAGGAGGAAAGTCTCTTTTTCAAAACATTTAATTCTTAAAACCTAAGAAGTAATACTATACCCAAAAGGAAAACAATACATTTGCTTTTTTGAATCTCATTTCATTTTGTGAACATTTTTGTGACAGCTAAAATATAAACGACTCTTTACAAACATGTCAAAACTACTTGTTAGAAGAAAAAACTCAGTGAGATTTTCAAACCCACTTTTGGTCTCCAACCACATATTCATCAATTCCAAACTACCAAAATGAAAACTGAAGAGTTAACATTTCTTTGTCTGGATTAAAAAATACTTACACTATTGGCTTTTCCAGGCGACTTCCCTGAGAACCAACAATCTCCCCCAATGTACAAAACACTTGTCCCAGAAAGTCCTAAAATAGATAAGAGGATTAAAGCTCATAAGTTCTCAAACTGTCTTTACACTACATATTTTGTACATCATATTCGCATTGGTTTCATTGCTGAAATACCGAATTCTCTCACCTCCAATAGTAAGTAAAATAAGCTCAATATGCATTCATTTTAGCATGTGATTTCCCTGCAAGTATGCGAAGCCCTTTGTCCTTTTTATCACGGCAGGCCTGTAAGTAAGCAAGACATTGCTTTCCTTTTCTTTTTCTTTTTGAAATTACAACAAACATGGAATAAAGTTCCAGGATCTAAATTCACAACTGGCTTGATTTTGGATGCTTCTGAACCTAGTAAACTTTGGGCTGAGGAGGCAAACTGTGACCAGCTCAGACAGGCTGTGAGATGTGGCCACAGGAGGGGTCCCAAGCCACATGGCCAGGTGTCTATTCCATGACTGCCACTGATTACCTGGGACTGGGCAATTAATTAAGCTCTCCCGTTTCCTCACTGCTAACATGTACTAGTCCTCCTCACAGAGTAGTTTTGAGGACGAATGAGTTATTGCATTAGTTAATATTAGCATATGTTAAGCACCTAAAAATAGGTTAAGTATATTAGATTTTAAAGTTCACTATGTACAGCTAGATGAATCTTATTTTCAAGTATAATCTTACACTTATTTTCAGGACTCAGAATAACCTTGCAAAATGAAAGGTCTGTTATTAATCTCCATTTCACATATAAAGAAACTCCTACTCATACAGGAGGTTGATCTTTTCATGTTTTAAGCAGTCAGTAAGTAGCAGAGTCAGGAATAACCCAGATGTTCCAATTCTAGATTACTATGCTCCCTAAGAATTTAAATATAAATACAATGCAATATCACATGCCAATAAAACAAGAGTTCCAACATCATCTGGATATATGAGTCAAGAAAATATGGAAGTATTTCAGGGAGAGACACACCCTCTAGTTCAGTCTGTATATGATTCGAATCCCCTAAAAGAAAAGGTGAAAGATCTCCCTAAATTGAACAGTGAACCAGTCCACGAGAAGCTCTAAGAAGGATGGACAGAAATGAAGGCCAACAAAATGTTGTTTAAAGTTTTTAATAAATAAAATTTTCAAATGCCTAACAAGTCACAAAAGTAAAAACTGTGTATTCCATTTAAAAAAATAAAAGAAGGGGAGAGTGCTCTATATCTCATGAAGGGAAAAAAAAAAAGCCCACACTGGAGACATTTCCCAAAGGCAGTAAGCCTTGAGAGCCAAGTAGGAATCCGATCATGGAGAGATGAGAGTTGGACGTTCTGTTAGCTAGGATGCAATGAGAAGTTACTCAGATCTGAGGGCTAAAAGCTATGAAGAGAAGGATAGAGGGGGGGAAGGACAAAAGCAGGGAAGGAGTATGTTTTGCTTTGCAAAAAAACAGCCATTCCCACCAAAGAGACACCCAGCTGTGGAGGCCACTTTTAGGCAAACAGACTGGAGCAAAGGAATGTAGAAAGGGCCCTCAGATCCCACCAGGCTGAATAGACAGGCCCATCAGGAGCCCCACCTCCACCGTAGGCCCTAACTGGTCAATGGGCTACTTACAACCAGGCACAGTTACCAAAAAAGGCAGAATTCCATATGTCGCCATACCTCCTCATCTTCCCCCTTTAAAAACAGCCCCCATCTACTGGCTCGTTGCAGATACCCTCTCTTCTCTCTGGTTGCTGCTCCCTTGCAATGTATTCGATAAACTTTTATCTCCTTTGTTCTGCTTCAGGTGAATTCTTGGACCTCCCAAGCCACCAGCTTCCACCCAATAGTCAGCCCACATTTCGGGGCCCCCATCCAATCAAGAGATTCCCCATGTAGATACCACACCAGCTAGGGGTTTCATCTGTTGGCCTCTTAGTAGGTGTTTCTTTCACCTGATAGCCTTATCTGAGCCATTTTGGGCCGGTTTGAGCCATTTTGGAGCTGAGGACCTGCAGAAGCCCCACCGAAGTTGCCCTGTAGTTACCTTTAGTTCATTATAAAACTCAGATCTACTCCTATAGGTGGGGTTTTCTGCCATTTTTTTTTAACACAGATACATGTATTAGCATGTTGACATGCTAGGCACGTGCAATTGAACCAAAGTGCCTAAATAATAGAATACGTATAACTCCTTAATGTGTATATGTAGTGCATATGCAAGCCGCCGCCCCCACCCCCAATACACTGAATAAAAGCTTCCAGTACTCACCCCAGGGGGAGACAGTGCTTTGACAGCTGTCTCTAGCTCCTCACTTGCAACAAGTAATAAAAAGTTCTTCACTTTCAACACTTCCTTGGGTTGTGTTCAATTTAATGCACCCCAGGCAGTGAACCCCTTGAGTTCAGTTACAATTCCAGTGAAAGAACAGAATTGGCTCTGTTGACCCCAAGATATGCCTCTTTGGCAGAAGGATTATTTTAGAGAAGCAGTAGACTCAGGAGAAGCTCAGAAAACCACGCTAGAAGTTACCCCTCTGTAGGAGATATTTACATTTATAAGAAAAATTTCCATTTGTAAGGGTATAGGAAGTAGAGGGGGTACTAAATCTCTAGGAACTCTTCTTAGTGGAGAAGGCAGAGACTTCAATCTGCATAAGCCATGGCCTCTTTAACATGCTTTGCCTGAAAACCTCCCTCCCATAACTGGTTCCCCACCCACCAATATTTTTTGTCTTTAGCTAGACATGGTATAAGATTTGGACCATTTCAGGGAGTTACTCATTTTTTTCTTGGCATTTTACAGGAGATATATTATTAAATTTTCATTTGTTTTTCTACTGTTAATCTGTCTTTTTCATTACAGAGGGTTGTCAGCCAAGAACCTTGAAGGGTAGAGGGAGAATTATTTTTCCTCCCTGACACAGTCCTAGAGAAGAGATCAGGCAAGAATGTAATGAGAAAAGAGTGGGCCTCAAGTAAGGGGCAGAATTGAAGATGAAGAGCCAGGATGGTGAAAGGTCCAGTTGGCTGGGCAAAAACAAACATAGAAAAAAGTTGCCTTAGGATAATCAGAAACAACTGGAAGACTTTTAGCAATGCAGGGATACCATTAGAATAGTGCATTCATGAATAGGGAAAGGATGGGACTTTTAGGTAGGTAAAGAACGGTGGGGTGGGGTGTGGTGGGGGGGGCAACTAGGCTTTCTGACGGTATTTCAGGTATGCAGACACTGAAACAGAAAAAAGACAGAGATCAGGAAAATTTAGACCACCCTATCCCAGTTACTAGAGTTAAAATGTTTTTCTACTAATTAAATTGTAACCACAGAAAATAAAAATAACCACAAAAACTAATCAGGCCTCAAAGGAAAAGTTTGCCATGAAGATTAACCAAACCTAGCAATACGTATCTATAGATCATAGATGTCACAGAAACAAAGACCCTCACACAATATATAAACGTCATGTTTAGTTCCAGGCCACTGCCCTAACCACCGGCAAGTTTCCTGGAAAGTCTTAATAAAAGGCCAGAGATGAAAAGCCCTCACTGGCAACCTGGTTGGGAGCCCTCACACTCATGAGAGCTTTTTCTGTATCCTTGATTAATAAAACTCTATCATTTTGCTCACTCTCCTTTGTCCGCGAGATTCATTCTTTGATTCTGTGAGACAAGAACCTTGCTCCCCTGCTTCATTCAGATTACTCAGGTACCAGTGTGCAGAATGGACTGAGGGATGAGGAAAAATCTGGAACCTGGATCAATCAGAAGACTCTAATGGTTAATAAGAAGCCAAGTGTTAAGACTCAAACTACAGTTGTAGCAAGTGGTAGGAACAGTGCAGAGAAAAGTGACAGGATTTGGTGTAAACTATACTGGCACATGCAGGTCATGTGGGAAAAAAAGGTAGAAGAGAAATTATTAAATTTCCTTACTACTTACAGCCCACTGACAAGTCCTTGAAACAGGCAGAGTGACATTCCTCTAGGGAGGCAGCAGCCTCGATGTTAATACTTTGCTAAGGGCAAAAGGCAATCTTAGCCAGACCCCCAGGATGCTGTAAGTCTACTTTAAAATATACAAATTCCTTTGGAAATTTCCTTTATTTCTACCCCCCAAGATATATGCTTGCAGTCATCTGCCAGGCATATGACCCACCAATATATATCTGCAGGGTCTCATGACTCAGATTTTAGCAGACAGCAATAAATGACCTTTTCCCAACAATAGCCAGCCTTCTCAAGGTCCCAGAAACCTTGCTTCCAAAATTCCTTAGAGACTTCCGCTATCTCTAACCCCCTCCCAACTTGAAAGTATATAATGGGCCACTGCTCATGACCCCATTGCAGCTCTTTCTGCCCACGGGTCCTGTCCTGTCCCTGTGCTTTAATAAAACCACCTTTTTGCACCAAAGGTATCTCAAGAATTCTTTCTTGGCCATCAGCTTCGAACCCTAATGTCTTTCCTACATCAGCACAGGGTGTGCGGGGGGTGAAGTAGAGATAGGAAGAGACAGAAAATAACTCTAGATCTGAAACTTGATGGCTTACAGAATGACAATGTCACCAGCTAAACCCAAGACCTGACCTTTACTGCTCACCTGCTTGTACTCATTGACCTTGTCCCACATTTTTCCGTAAGTTCTTTCTGGCTTATCTCTCACTTAACACAGGCTAAAAAGACCCAATGGGCATAGCATCCCCTGAAGGAAACCGAAACTACCCCCTCAAGCTTTAATGACTGCCCTGGCGAAGAGCTCCGGAGGCCCAGACCACGCAGACCAGTTTGAGCTTAACTCACACATGTGCAAATCGACCATGTAGTGAAGGACTTCTACCTCATTATCATGCTAAAATATCCGCCAAAGGAGGAACACAAGCCTCATTAACATAACACACGATGTTTGTATAGGCAGGTTTCCTTAAGGTGCATATGCAACCTTATGCCCACCTCTATATATGATGACAAGGTTCCCCTTCCTAAATATTCACCGGAACGCTAAATAAAAGGAACCCACCCACCCCTGCTTTTGCTGGGGAGTCACAACTTTAGAAG